TTTATGATTACAATGAATGTGGAGGGCTCACTTGGTTCGCTATTGTTGAGGTTCGTGTCGAGAGGTTCGCTGAACATACAATCAGTCCCATTGCTTCGTTCACACGGGTTCCGGTTCTTGGCCTCCAGTATGCCTGCAATTCCTGGTGCATTGTACATGTGCACGTGCAAGAGAGAGAAGAGAGAGAACACATATAATCGGGGTAGAAAGGGAGGGAGATTCAAGCACAGAAATTGCAGAACAGGTGCAGTCTTGTGTTACCTATACCTGACCACAAACTAGCCAGAAGTGCAGATTTACTACAAACGCAACACGCCACTACAATACCACGCACAGACCGCTTTTATTACCGGCGAGATAATTATATGGCTTTTACCCATGCTACTACACCAGCTACGTAAAGAAAAGGCCCCGTTTGTGAGTCACCGTAGCCTGCCCCACCCAAAAGTGAACAGAACTAAAGGCACTATCAGACGCCGTGTATGGTTACTGCACGTTCAACACGGCCTCACCCAGTCCAACTACGGCCGCCAGGGACATCAGAGACAGCACTCCCAAGACAGCGGCTCCCACGATCACCAGTATTGCATTCCTCTTCAACATCATCTTCGACTCAGAGCTTCAGTTTGTTTGCGTTTGGCAAAAGGTTTACGCATGCGCACAACAAACGTAGATTCACGCATGCGCAATAGTCGTGCCATATTTGTCACGGCTGTTATTGTGCAGAGAGAGCTAGGGAGGGCGAGCGCGAGAGGACCGGGGCTTTTGTTGACTGAAGACACTTCTTGGACTCTGGAGCTCTCGGCTTGAGTGCTCGCTTTGGCGGAAGATTGATCGTCGTGAACTTGGCAGACCTTCAGTGTGTGCTTGTCTACCTGCTGTCGCCTAGAGAGCTAGATCTATAAACTGCGTGTTTGCTACGCTCGAGCTCCGGGACGCAGCAATGGAGCTGGTGGAGCTGGACTGCAGCCCGAGGCTGACACCGCGGAGGTTTCAAGGTACAAACTGCTGTGGTGTACGAGGACCCTCTCCACCTCACTCTCTCTCTTTCTCTGTCCACTCTGCCTTGCTAGGAGAAGCGACGACCAGCCAGTTGGACCGTCCCAACCGGCCTCCGTGCCTGACTGTTCCCGCTGACTCCTCCTCCTCCTCCCCCACGGCCACCGGGGAACGCAGTCTGGCCACTGGCAGCGACTTTACCGATGACTCTCGGAGGGTTAGTTCACCTTTGACCCCCGTGTAGTAGTGAAGGATTAGCAACTTCACTGAATGGGTATGATATCACTGGGTAGTCCGTGCAACGTGTTGGCCGCAATAGAAATGCAGTTTTTAACCTTGTTTTATGGCCTAACATATGTACCTACGTATTTCACGATACTTTATATCATGCAACACATTGTGTGTCCATGATGTCACAGGCCCAGACAAAGAAGGGACAGAATGACATCATAAGGCTATTGCGACGGAAACGAACCCCCTCTAGTTCTTCGGACGTGGACGACGACCCCCCGCGAACTGCAACCTCCCCGAAATCCTCTCCTCGCATGTACAGGATCCCCCTGATCGGGAAGATCCCCCTGACCCCTCTCACCAAGACCTCTCCCAGGTCAGAGCAACGGGCCTCGTGGGGCGGGGACCAACTCATTGGCGGGAAATATGACGTCACCTCAAAGGACAAGTCTGTTCTAGAGAGGATCTCACACAGAGCTCATCGCCACGGCGCCAGGGTCCGGAAGCCACACGAGGTAATGTCTGTCAAAGACCTCGAGTATTATACATGGCTTTGGTGATGTGTGTACCTACTTGATTTTGTTGCTGTTGTGTAATGCAGACAATTTAACCTCCCTAATCTGAGCATAAATGAGACAAAAGAAGGTGTCAGTGGTAGCGAGGTGTCTTAATTCGGGGGTTAAATCTGCATCCAAGTAACTAATAAGTGTCCTTGTTGGAGGTGTCCTCATTTCAGGGGTGTCCTTAGAGAGGGTTTCCAATGTACGTACTATATGCTGTGTTTCCACCACCATACTGTATATACAATGGATATGTTGCTCTGTTGCTCAGTTACTTCATTGTTGTTGGGGTGAGGCACCGGTTGACCTGCTCAATAACAGTTTCTCTAGTGCCAACATGTGACAGAATTGTCCTTGGTGGGGTTGACTGCTGCGTATAAGTACTTGTTACACAGCACTGCTTTGTGTAGGGACAGCTGTTGCCACATTGTGGCCTGCTTCCTTCTCCTTTGCCTGCTTCCTTCTCCTTTCCTTCTCCCTCTCCCTCTCTTTACCATTCTCTCCCTCTCTGCCCCTCTCCCTCTCCCATGTACTATGAATGTATGTATGTATGGAACCTCCACAATAAACGACAATTGAAAGACACCGGCACTTGTTTAACTAATACTTTCACTGTATACTGTGCAGTGGGAAAACATCTGACTAGCGCAGTTTTCCTTTGTGATGCCTTTAAAGTGAATTCACATGACTGTTTCCAGCTCTAGTCTGTGTGCATATCGATGTTCCTCCAAACCTTTGCTGCATAGTCATTATGTCCCTTCCTTGTTGGTACATGTCTCAACAACTTGGTAGCGAGGTAGAAAGGCAAGGCATGCACTTGAGCCTTGTGACCAAACCATTTGTGGAGTATGTGTAGTGACCGAGGTGTCACTTGATGTGTGTGTGTGTGTGCAGGTATTTGTGGAGCTGGAGGAGCTGAAAGCTGACAGTGAAGGAATGGAGTGGGAGGAGACTGCAAGGTCAGTGTGTCCGTTTGTACCACCCTAGACCACACCCTTTCTACCCAACCTACGAAGACCTGCGTAACATCAGGTGATATTTGACGCTGGTGGCAAATCTGGTAATAAATTGCTCAATAGTCACCAGACATTTTCCTCTCCTGAGGGCGCGTGGTCTGGGTACGAGACTCTGTATCTGTGTATCCCACTTTCCCAATGCTCTATGACTTCTCAGTAGGTAGCCTCACTCTGTTCCGTGTAATGGACACAGAACACTTGTCATACTCGAAATACAATTTCGCTTCAATTCCGCTTGAGTAAGTTCATCACTCTTTGCCCTAAGGCTAGGCTCACAATGTGTTACAAAGGCTAACAGACGTGCGGCTGCCGGCACGGAGCCTCGTGACGAAAGTAGAAAATGTTTATGTCTTTGCGACATGAGGCTTCAGACAACATGTTCGCCCGTGGTATTCTTCCTTCAGTTTCCCCACCAAAACTGGTTGTTATTCGAAAAGTCTTCATTTGGGGAATTTTTCCATGTTACGTACATACATGTACATTTCAGTTACTGCTAGTGACAAAACATGCAACGTAGAAGAAATATAGTTATTACAAGACAACATGTACAGATGAGCCGGGACTGGAGGAGTCCTTCTGGCTCTCGAAGCTCCCGCACGGATTCGGTTCCACCGTGGGGTTCATGTCCGTGACCATATTATTATAATTGCCTTCCTTCCCACTTTTCTCTGTCTTATTGCTATTGTTGTTGTTGTTGTTTAGATGGATAAAGTTTGAGGAGGATGTGGAGGGGAGAGGGTGGGGCAGACCACACATCTCTGCCCTCACCTTCCACAGTCTGTCGGCTCTGAGGATGACACTGGAGAGTGGTGAGCCACACCTTTTAGCACACGGTTTTCCCCCACTCTTTCTGCACATTGGTGGTCACGGCTTCCAAAGTTTTCTTTCAATATCTCGTGGGGGCAAACGATGGTCTCTGAATCAAAACATGTGCCCTCACCCTCTGGATTAATGTGTGTTAACCCTTTGGGCGCCATAGGTGTCTCCTTAAATAAGCAGAAATTGATGTATAACATATTAGCGCCTAGTATTATAGCCATATATAAATTCTTATGCACTTATGGAGGCTCTGTATATGTAAATGGCGCCCAAAGGGTTAAGGAATCCCTCAGGAGGGGGGGAGGGGCTGGGCTTATCCAATTTCCATACATTTCCTGTGCAACATATGTATGTACATATGTACGTACAAAAGATCGTTTAGGTTCTATTCCTAGTACAAAATTACCTCTAAGTGGAAAACTTGTGCTGATGCACATTTTGCACGACGTGCATGTGACAAAATGGAAGGATGTGATTGGCTAAAGGTCACATGACCAGCGCCAACTGTGTATTCTCTAGGATGTATTCTACTGGATGTGGAGGGAGATGACTTCCCCTCCATTGTGAGGGTGATAGTGGCAGAGCTGGTCACCTCCGGGATGCTGCCAGTGGAGTGTGTGGAGCCCGTGACTCAGGTTCTGTACAAGAGGCACAAACACGCCTCACACATCACCCTCTGGGAGAAATTGAAGAAGTCGGCCAGCAGAGGAGGTGAGTGGAGGTTAGGGGGTGAGAGAACAAGGGATGAGAAATGCTAATAATCCAAGGTTTATTGTACAGTGAGTGGAGCAAGCCCACCTATTCCTCTGAATTGCACAATATTTTCTGTTTGATGTGTAGTGGACAGCACTGTCCATACAGTAAATGCTTTTATGCGTATTCGTACCCATCGTACCCTTGCCCATAATACATCATATCAGGGCAGCTTGCAATACACAGCCTCAAAATCCACTCTGTTTTCCTCCCCCTCTCTTCTCTTTCTCTGTCCCTATCCACTCCTCCTCCCACCCACCCTCCCTTCTTACCTCCCTCCATTGTTACCTCCCTCTCTCCCTTCCTCTCCCTCCTTCCTCCTTCCCTCTCTCCCTCCCTCTCCCTCCTTCCTCCTTCCCTCTCTCCCTCTCTCCCTCCCTCTCCCTCCATCCTCCTTCCCTCTCTCCCTCTCTCCCTCCCGCTCCCTCCATCCTCTCTCCCTCTCTCTCCCTCCTTCCTCCTTCCCTCTCTCCCTCTCACCTCCCTTCTTTCTTTCTTGCCTCCCACCGAAGGAGATGAGAACAGCAGGAGTCACTCAAGCACTGGTTTGAACCCTCTAGCAACTAGAGAGGGAGAAGATGGAGAAGAAGGAGGAGTGATGTTGGAGGAACAGAAGAGACCTGGGATACTCCGAACTATTACGGAGAAGGTGGACTCCAACCAGGTTAGGCTTTACTTATCAGTGGTGACGTAATGATGATGTAATCTCATCCAGTCGATATCGTCGTCGTCGGTGTCCAAGGCAACCAATAAGAAGGTGCTGTTCAACATATCCTCGGGGACGTCCCTGCATAATGGGGCAGAAATTGTGGAGATGTCTCCAGCCACAGAGGTTGACAGCAATGAATGTTAGTAACTCTAACTCTCTATTTTGATACATACTACAGTATGAAGCTTTGTCATTATGTGTAAGGGAATGTGCCGATTTATACAAGTGTATATAGCCCTTGTACTGCCACATTTCCTTTAATTTTCCCTTGCACCTGAAGAACCTGAATGGGTGTGTAGATCTGTATGGACTATTTGCTATCTGCCATTCACTATATACCCTTTGACTTTGTTGATATTGAAGTGTCAGTTGAGAGCTAGGGACAAACACACCTCTACTTCCTTCCCCCCCCCTCTCTCTCTCTCTCCCTGTATAGTGATAACTCTGCCCAACCCTCCTCTTGCCAAGACACATCATCACCACCACCACACTGGCTCTGACTTCCTCAGGTCTGTAGCTACGCACACCGCCACATTGGCTCAGACTTCCCCAGGTCTGTAGCTGCACACACCACCACACTGGCTCAGACTTCCCCAGGTCTGTAGCTACGCACACCGCCACACTGGCTCCGACTTCCCCAGGTCTGTAGCTGCGCACACCGCCACACTGGCTCCGACTTCCCCAGGTCTGTAGCTGCACACCGCCACACGCTCCGACTTCCCCAGGTCTGTAGCTCACACCGCCACACTGGCTCCGACTTCCCCAGGTCTGTAGCTACGCACACCGCCACACTGGCTCCGACTTCCCCAGGTCTGTAGCTGCGCACACCGCCACACTGGCTCCGACTTCCCCAGGTCTGTAGCTGCGCACACCGCCACACTGGCTCCGACTTCCCCAGGTCTGTAGCTGCACACACCGCCACACTGGCTCCGACTTCCCCAGGTCTGTAGCTGCACACACCGCCACACTGGCTCCGACTTCCCCAGGTCTGTAGCTGCGCACACCGCCACACTGGCTCCGACTTCCCCAGGTCTGTAGCTGCGCACACCGCCACACTGGCTCCGACTTCCCCAGGTCTGTAGCTGCACACACCGCCACACTGGCTCCGACTTCCCCAGGTCTGTAGCTACGCACACCGCCACACTGGCTCCGACTTCCCCAGGTCTGTAGCTGCGCACACCGCCACACTGGCTCCGACTTCCCCAGGTCTGTAGCTACGCACACCGCCACACTGGCTCCGACTTCCTCAGGTCTTTTGTGAAATTGCTGCGAAAATTAAGTTGCTGTGCTTGCCAACCGACTGTACTGCAAAACCCAGCAATGATCCTCAGCAACTCTCACTAGTATACTCTTTTCATTTCTCTACAGGAAATGGTTGGAAGAGGGAGTGATGGACAAGATACCAGAGGGGGCGGAGTCACTGACGGTACTGGTGGGTGGAGTCAAGTTCCTTTCGGAGCCCATTGTGGCCTTTGTCCGTCTGGCTCAGGTGAGGGGCGTGTCCCTCCTTTCTATGCATCGTGTAATGATTCCATTGTAGCTAGTCATTTTGGCCTAGATATACAGTACATATGAAAATTTTCTAAAGCATGCCACCAAACAAGGACCCCCCCTGCCTCCCAGAGTCACCTGCTGGGGGACCTGACAGAGGTCCCTGTCCCAGTGAGGTTCATCTACTTCCTCCTGGGACCACAGGACTGCGACCTTGACTACCATGAGGTGGGGCGAGCCATGGCAACCCTCATGTCGGACAAGGTTAACATTAGAGATGAGGTTTTATGCTATGGTCAGTAATACAGTACGTAGATACCGCAGGGAAAGTATGCAGAACAAAGGGATGGACACGTAATGTAAACAGAATGTTCTTACGAAAACAATATTATACTAGGAATGCACATGCGCATATTTTGCCTCGTGCCTGCCAGCCAATGCGTAAACAGTCCGATTGAGGCCGCTCGTGAGCGCGCTCTAGTGACTGCGCGCGAAGCCAGACTTCCTACGAATCTGCACGCACGGCGGAAGCTAGACTTCCTACGAATGACGGAAGTTACACTTCCTTTTGTGAGCGCTCTACTGACTGCGCGCGAAGCCAGACTTCCTACGAATCTGCACGCACGGCGGAAGCTAGACTTCCTACGAATGACGGAAGTTACACTTCCTTTTGTGACTAATTGACATTCCTAAGTGTGACTAATTGACGGGGTACGTACGCATATCACGAGAATACAACCCGGAGTAGTTGCCTCACGCTAACGCGCTCGGCAACAAGACAGCACTATGACTCAGGTAAACTAGTAACAGCACAACATGCATGCTTTGACAGCCAAGTGCTACTGACATTATTCATGAGCTTGCAAGGGTGCCAAGTTACGTATGTACCTTGGGATTGGAAGTATTTAGCTAACTCCATCCGTGATTGTGTGTGCAGCATTTCCACGAGGTGGCGTACACAGCTCTGATGGCTGACGACCTGCTGGACGCCATCGATGTCTTCCTGGACGACTCCATTGTCCTCCCTCCTGGAGATTGGGACGAGAACCTCCTCCTCCCTGTCATGCACCAGAGGAACGAGATGAGGAAAAGGAAAGGTTGGGCCACCTCTCCCTCCTCCTCCCTCCTCCCTCCTCCCTCTCTCCCTTCTCTCCCTCCTCCCTCCCTCCTCTCCTTCCTCCTCCCCCCTCCTCCTCTCCTCCTCTCCTCTCTCTCCTCCCTCTCCTCTCTCCCTTTCTCTCTCCCTTCTCTCCTCCCTCCCTCCTCTCCTTCCTCCCTCCTCCTCCCTCCTCCCTCCCTCCTCTCCCTTCTCCTCCCTCCCTCCTCCCTCTCCTTCTCTCCCTCCCTCCCTCCTCCTCCCTCTCCTTCTCTCCCTTCCCTCCTCTCCTCCCTCTCCTCCCTCTCCCTTCTCCTCCCTCCTCCCTCCCTCCTCTCCCTTCTCCTCCCTCCCTCCTCCCTCTCCTTCTCTCCCTCCCTCCCTCCTCCTCCCTCTCCTTCTCTCCCTCCCTCCCTCCTCCCTCCTCACTCTCTCCCTTCCTCTTTCCTTCTTTCTCTTCCCTCTCTTCCAATTTCCGAAGTCGTCTTTGCACCTTCTATGTACAGTACCCTGGGGTTTTTCCTAGTAGGTTGAAGGGCTGAGAACCAGAGTGGTCTGTCCCAAAATTAAGTATGGCAAATCGTTAAACCATTCTGGTTTGTGGGTTAGACCATTCTGGTTCTTAATTAGCCCTTCAATCGAGGCAAGGGCTCCACAAAAACTGTTTTGCCTCGGCCCCACAGCTATAATTTTTAATTCCTTTCCTTTAAATTGTTCCTGGTTGCTATCGCTGTATGCACTAACAACGAGGTAGAAAGGCAAGGCAAAGCATGCAAGTCAACTACACCCAGGACAGCTAATTTTCCACATGCTCCAACTGGAGTAGCGTTGGTAGACCTTACTACTATATCGACTTGTTTCAGAGAGTAAGGTGAGGGAACACGAGAGGAGGAAGCTCTTTGCAGTGGACCCACTGAGACACAGCCGGAGACCCTGTGGAGGGATGTGGGCCGACCTCAAGAAACTTGTCAGACGATATCCCTCCGATCTCAGAGACATGTTCCACATACAGGTATGTGGTAATAGGGTGCCTCCTACTACAGGAGACAGGGAGGGATTAATAGGTGGAAAACCCAAAGTAAAAGTTGGGCATCTGGTCCGTTGAAACTACAATCTACATGCGTTAGAAGCCCCAATGCACGTAGATTTCAACGACGAGATTCTTATGTACCTTATTTAGTACGCACTCCAATTGATGTGCACTTAATTGTTTTTATGCGTTTAAGGGTTGTGCTTGGAAATGGGATCACAGGTACTTTGGTAAACACGATGCGAGTTACTACGAGATTTAGTAGACACGTGTGAGTGCGTACTAACAGAAGTTGGGAGTGAGATGGGGGAAAGATGAAAGGTTGAAGCAAGATCATTAACCCTAGGTGTGTATATGCAGCAAGGGTTTTGCAGTTGGTTTGTGTGCATACAGACCTGAGACCAATGGTATTTAGCTGCCTTGATGGTTCTGTGGCAGAGAATGAGGTAGTCGTCCTTTTGTCTTTATTATGGGCGAGTAAAACGTCTGAATGCAGGATTTTCTCATGTGTCTGTGTGTAATGTATATACCTCGGGCACTGTACATATACATACCGTTATGTTGTAAGGTGATTCTATGCATGAAAACGCATGCAGAATGTTAACCCGCTTCCTTTGCTTCCCAAACGTCAATTGTTCTAGTTACATACGTAATGATGTAATGTATAGATCATCTCCTCTCTCCCTCCCACCCTCCTCTGCAGACGTTTGTGTCCATCATCTTCCTCTACGTGGCGTTCCTGGCCCCGGCCATCGCCTTGGAGGTCTCATGGAGGAAGTGACGGGGAACCTGATTGGCGAGACGGAGACACTGCTCATGACCGGTTTGTCCGGCGTCTTCTACAGTCTGGCTGCCTGCCAACCACTCACCATTCTGGCCTTCACCGGACCTCTCCTCCTCTTTGAGGAGGTCGTGTTTGCTGTGAGTTAGAGTAGCTAGAGACCACGACACAAGTAAAACAGCGTAGCCCAGCCCATCAATTAGCGGTACCGACCCGCGCATGCGCAATGCGTGTAATCAGACATCCGCACGCGTCTACTGTGCCGAGGGTTTGCACTTTAGTGTTTTCATTGCTCTGGCAGTGTCATGAGGTTTATCTTTTCTCCTCTCTCCTCCTCCCTCTCCCCTCTCTCCCTCCTCCTCCCTCCCTCTCTCCTCCTCCTCCTCCTTCCCTCTCCCTCTCTCCTCCTCCCTCTCTCCTCCTCCTCTTCCCCTTCTTATGTACAGTTCTCTCAACAGTTTGACATACCCTACCTGGAATGGCGGGCAGTAATTGGAATATGGCTGATGTTGCTCCTCATATTGTGTGCCTTGTCAGAGATCACTTTTCTCGTTACCAAATTCTCGAGATTCTCTGAGGAGATTTTCACGTGGATAATCGCCATCTTCTTTACTTATGAGGCAACCAAATCCATTATAGGGGTGAGATGGTTTTTTTTTTGAAGAATCGAGCTCTTTTTTTCAGGTTGTTGAAATGAAAATTTGCACAAACTACTTAAACAGAGTTTGGTTACATTGTTTTGCGGTCATGCTATGGAGAGTTGGCCCTACCTTTTTAAATTTTGTGTTTGGGCTCGAAAAGTACAGTACTTTATATCAGTGACTTCTAGTCTCTTTCCCCCCACTCTTGGTGAAGTGTTTTACATTACGATATCTGGAAACAGTGATCACTGGTCTCTCTCTTCCTCCATTCCATGTCAGGTGTTCAAAAGGAACCCACTCTGTTCCCTGGAGGACTATCCCTGTTCCAAATACGATGATTTCTGTCTGCCTGTCTACGGTGGGAACTACAGCAACTCCTCATCTCCCACTTGTCTCCTCTCCGCTGGAAATGGCTTCAATAACAGGCTACCTTCTGGTTTCAGGTGCTCATCATGTCTCTTTCTCTCCCTTCCCCTCTCCTCTCTCCCTCCCACTTTCCTTCCCCTCTCATCTCTCCCTCCCACTTTCCTTCCCCTCTCCTCTCTCCCTCCCTCTTGCTCCCTCCATTTGTGTATATACAAACTTGGCGCACCTGCTAATTGGGTATATATGTACAGTACTTGCATTTGAATTAGAAATGTAGTAGCTACATACAGTGTCTATGTGTATTTTACATCCAGAAATAAGACTTGTGAGTAGCCTTTTACACAGACACTTTAAACCTGTTCACATTTGTCAATGCTTTAGTAACACAGTATCAAGATTAAGTGCGTTAGTGAGAATCTCTCTGTCTCGTGATGTCACAACCAACACAACACACACCCAACGTCCTTCCATTTACACGATGTTGATGTTTGCTCTCCTCACACAGGGTGTGCAACCAGCCCAACACGGCTCTCTGGTCTCTCATCCTCTGTCTCTGCACCTTCTTCATCGCCCTCATCCTCACCAAACTACGTCGCGGGAAATCCCTGGGGAAAAAGGTACATCTTACCTGTAGCCCTAGTAATTGCGGCTACCAATTTTAGCGACTTTAATATTGCGCATGCGTGCACATAGCGCGTGATTTCCGCATGGTTAGTTGCGTGCGCTATACGTGTATAGTTTATGCTCTACTGGAGCTTTACTCTGGAGTCTGGAAACAAAAAGGACTTGCAAAGGTTTGTGGTTCTACACTTTGGGTCAGCACAAGAGAAGGAGGATGAATATATGCACACACAAACCTTTGACTGGCTGTCATCATCATACATTCATACATTATTGTACACAAATGATGTGGGGCCAAAAATCCCTATAATTAGTGTACGCCAAACATGATCTGTGCAAAAATGCAAAAATTGGTATCCGCAATTAATAGTAACCTTATATAGTGTGTTCTTTGAACTGTTGACTTGATGTATTTGTCAATGGAAAGCAGGTGCAATTGAGGGCTGCAAATTTAACAAGTAATTTAATACACTTATGTAGGTATTACGGTGAAAGAAGGTAGTATAATGTGCCATAGCACAGTGGTTTGAGGTTTGCCTTTGTGTTGTGTTGTGCTGTGTTGAAGATTTGAACCCCTACCAGCTGGTAGCTCAGTTGGTAGAGCGCTCAGCCTAGACTGAAGAGGTTCGAATCCTGCCAAGGACAGATGTTTGCTTTGCCTTTTCCAGTTCAACATCCTTGTTGACACATGAAATCCTCACAGTTAGTGCAATTGTTGACACGTGCAACTTTTGATCAGTATATACCCTGGGTAGTCATGTGATCTGTCAGTCCTACAATCTGACCACTTGTTTCAGTATTCATGATCTCACTAGAATCTCCAAATAAGGTGAGGCATGAAACACGTCTGCAACTCTCAGGCTGTGAATATTGGTAGTGACAGAAAGGTCAAGGGCTGTTTCCTTTCAGCCTCTG